GAATCTGATGGTTCAACTTCGGGCTCAGATCTCTGAGATGCAGCACTGGAGTGCTCCTCTCTGAGCTGTCTGGTTTCCTTTCTCGTTCTACGCGCGGTCTTCTCTACTTCGGGGTCAAAAATCAATTCACCTGTACGAGAAGACCTAGACATACACTAGAAAAATATCAGAAAATTAGAGCAAAAATGAACTTAATTAAAGAAACAAATAATAACGTCAGTCCCCGGCAACGGTGCCAAAAATTGACAAGGCATCAACCTGTGCAATAATAATAATAATAATATAGAACCTAGCTACCACTAAAAGCAGTCAATAATTAATTCTAGGTACTGGAGCAGGGACTCTAGGTGTGCAATGGGTTACTTGATTCACCCTATACCCGAAGAGTTTGCTTAACCCGATATACCAGAATTAATTAGTTGACGAAAATTACTAAATAGTAGACAGTGGCAAGTAGGGTCGTTTCCTCAGGGACTGGAGATATCTGTCTCTTTTAAAGTCCAATTGATAAAGGGGGATTTCACCGGAATGAAACTAAAAATAATTAGACAATTTAACTAAAAATGAATAAATAACTAGCACAAATATAGCAGGAATTTAATCAGGAATAAATAAATTCTAGCCAAGGATGCAACTACTCAGGCACAGTCCATTTATCCGATCATTGATGCAGGAGAGGTTCACTTAATTTATTAATAGGCTAGTTATAGTCTGACGACCAATTTTTCCTTACTTTATTGATAACCAAGGTACGACCATAGGAATTAATTTTCCAATTGCATTAACAACTAGAAAAACCTAGTTCTAATCAATAACACGCTACGAGGGTTATTTAAATTAGATTGCATGTTCCCCTAATGTGTAAACACACCAGTTGCCACTAATATTAATCAATCAAGTAATTACGGATTTAATTGACTAAATTGGCACGAGATTAATAAATCATATTGAACGTCGAGCCCTTGACATCCAATTAATAAAATAATCCCATGAGAATACAAGCAGACAACGTGCAAATATTAATAAATTAAGGAACGCGTGAAAACTAATTAGATCTCACAGATTTCGGGACTGCGCCGTCGAGTTGACCCTTGACTAGATGGAAGACTTAGCCACGCCGCATAATTAAATCACCACACGAATTAATAAAGTGCAAAGGCATTGCGTTTTCTATTAAGAAACAAGGAATAAAAGGTGTTTTTCCCGTTGGGGAATATTGTCGAACACCTGGCGTGTGTCAGAGGCCAGTCAGGAGAAAGCAAAACTAAAACTAAACTAAAAGACTAAAAAACTCGCGATGTCCCTGTTACTCTACGTTATCCCTATTTAAGCAACAAAAGAAAGATGACTAAAGGCTATCTAGGTGGTTCCCACACATGTGGACAAAGCCTTCAAAGTACTTCTTGCCCAAGTCTCTTTCCGTAGCTTTCTTTGAAGAGCCCAAATGACATATAGCTTGTGGTCCCCCACCAATTCAAGGGCCCAAGAATTGAAGCCTTTAGAAGTCTCCATATTCTCCATAAAATCCTTCCTTTTTGGTAGTTTTCTGTTTCATTCCTGAAATTAAGTCCAGATACCAAAAAATGAGTAGATATCAGCAATTAACACAATATTTATCAGGGATAAAAGGGGAAATTAATAATAAAATTACTAACAAATTATACCCTATCATTTCACTTGTGGAAATAGTTAAAAGGAGAGTCTCTAATATATTTGCAAGTTTTCCATCACCTCAAACTTTCATAAATTTAACAACTCACTAAAAAAAATGGGCGTGCGTTACACATGTCGGCATTGAAGTAAAATTTCTCCTTTCAATTTTAAAATAACGCTACTTATCTTACTTATAACAGACATACTAATAGTAGGACTTGTGATGAAAAAGGAAAGGGAAAATGGCAATCATAATTGCAGCTCGGGCAACCATTTTTTTTTTTTAATCTAATTTGCTAATTCTTGGGACATGAGGATAGAACTGACTTCATCTAAATAATAATAATTCCTTGACAAATTTGGATGCTATTAATTGCCATAGAAGATGTTTGGCAATTTCACTATTTGGCCTCTCTTAATCAATCCATGAGGCTTACATCTTGGACAAACTTGGATAGCTACGTTCAACTGCCAAAATGTAAATGAGAAGGGAAATGACAATCATAGGTGGTGACATGGGCAACATTAATCATGTCATCTATTAATCCAGAAATAAATTTGAAAAGAATAATAAATTGGCCTTGGGAATTAGACTAACAGCGTAACTGGAGTAATATTTTAGAATTTGCTTAAAAACTTTTAGAATTTGGTCAAAATCCAGAGACCGCAAAGTGATGATTTCATACATCACGTAATTGGCCAGAAATTGTTTGCATTTTAACTTGTGAAAATTGTTTAAATATTCTCTCATACTTTAGGAAGTTTTCTAGCGCATCAATCAAACTTGAAAGAAAGAATTTAACAACTCATATCTTAGACCGTAACTCTTTTATTAACCTCCTATCCTATTTATGATTAGTTTTCACGCTCAATATGTGTTGTTTGCGTTTTATGTGCAAGATTTAGTAAAGTGTTGAAAATTTGAGGAGTTAGTTTAACTAAAGTACAAACTTAAATGTTGGGAAGTTGCTTGGCTTTTTACTGAAAAAATTTCCAAGGTCAATGCTCGGATTCTTTTTTTTTTTTTTTTTTTAATTTCAATCTCTTGTTTGTGTTGTCATATCGATTCCTTAGAACATATTATTTGGATGTTTTGAAATGGCTGTGGTTGTTTGACAAATTTGGATGCTTTTGTATTGGCATTTTTACTTTAACTTTCTCAACTATTTTGATTGTGGACAATATCTCAATGGTTGTTGCAGTTATGAAGGAGAATCATTTATGTCCAAGATAAAATTGAACTCGGAACCTCTTACTTACAACACCTCCCACCCAACTTGAATCATAATTTGGTCTTAATTACTAATCCTCAAGAATTAGAATTAGAATTAGAACGCGCATCTTATTTTGTTTGGTTCCATCAAGTGCCAGAGCAAGAATTTTTATTGGATCAATTAATGGTCAGTTTTTGACTAATGAAAATATTCTAAATAAGATTGTGAGATCAATTAATTTCACATAGAATCCAAATAAGATTATGAACTCCTTGTTTGTTTAATTAATTTCATATGCTAACGATTGTACTTGCCAAATAATTGACGGTGATTGTAATAAAATTTCTTTGCTAGGGGTCAAAGTTCTTCCTTTCCGCACTAACTGTGTTGCATTCTGATTCTTGGATAAATAATCAGGCGTTGTGACTTCAAATTACATATTAATTGACACAAAAAACACATAAACTCTCCCTGATTGTTCTACCATTCTCAAACTCTCTATATTATTTCTAGGTCCTTGACAAGTTCTTTTTTTTTTTTTTTTTGCTTTTCAATGAAAGAATTTGAGTGATTTCAACTCTAGTTATCACCACCGTGAAACACGGTAGACTTTTGTATTTATTTATTTTTTTTTTACAAAAAAAAAAAAGAGAGGTCCGACTAAGAATCAGGCTAACTGACAATAAAAAAGCAATGTCAATCGATTTGATTTTAGCCCGAGGAGAGTATATAGCAATTGAATGTTCACTCACTAAAATGGTCAGATCCTTGAGAATCTGAAAGTAGAAGCAATGATTCTATTGCTTAAGCCTGAAACAATTTTCTGTGCTTAGACATACTTCGGCATAAAGTTTCATTTCTTTTATATAAACTCATTATCTTCCCTTTTCTAGCAAATCAGCAATAAAACTCTACTTTTTCTCCGAGAGGCCTTTACACATTGGCAATTGTAGCACAAGCAAAGCAATAAGATGTTCAAATCCAGCTATACATATGGCAGCAAGAGTTGCTGATCTGAATCCGCATAAAAAATGAATTGAGATGCTAATTTGAGGCGAATGAATGTACTACTGGCTGCATGTAATGCCCTGAATCGAAAATGGCTACCATTTCAATCCATAGAAATATGATGAAGGAAACTGGACTGCAACATGGACTCATAAGAATCAGATATGATAATTCTTGATTGCTTGGTTTTTTGACACAAGACGTCAATATGCTTCAAATGAAATAGTGAATCCAACAAAAAAGGCATGACAAGCTGTGATTAATGCCACACAAACCTGAGTTTATCTTTACGAGTGAATTATGCTGTTAGTTTCATTGAATTAACAGAGAAGATAGTGAAGAGTGAAGAGCAGAGCCATTCCAAAATGCCAAAGAGACAGAGAGATTATAAAGATGATCAACTAACTAATCATAATCAGCCACATACCCTTCAAGAAGGGCTTGAAAACAACTTTTAGTCCAACATAACGACATTCAACACGAATAGCCAAATATCTGAGGTTTGAGAAATGACAGCAATTGTTGTAGTCAAGCAATAGCAATGAAAGGGGGGACTACAGATCCAAAAGAAGGCACAACAATATGATCAGTGTGGAACAAAATTTGCATTATAAACTAATTCAGAGCCAGCTACAACGTCACAGAAGAACAGGCAATAGGCATGAAACTTCCAATACGGGGATAACAGCACTTTTTCTGTGTCCTGCTTGGTCCGACCAGGGACAAAAACGACATCTGGCTGAAACCAGTCACATTGCTCGAAAATTTAAAAAGAACCAAAAAAAAATGAGAAAGAAGAAGGGAAAAAGGAACTGCTTAGAATCAGAGAGAGAAGAGGGACTTCTGAGAGCAGCACTAATCGACGGGGACAACTCCGGCAAGTGGATGGCAAAGACAGCACTAATCGGCGAGGACAGCACCAATCTCTTCCCTTTTGTGTAGAAATAAGTTCATCTGAAAGTTTTTATTTTTTTTAGGTAACTAATTATGATTATTACTACTACAACTACTTTCTGTACTGATACAGACATGATTGGCCGTCAAAGTCCACAGGCATAGAAAAGTAGAAACGCTTTCCTTGTAACATATCCTGAGCTACAATGAAAATGATTTGAGACCAAGATGTGTAAGATCCATGTCACAATAGCGCTTCATGGAACAATATTGACGTACAAGGAGACAAGTTCACATAGAAGTAATTTTACAAATAGATGCTATGTAAAATGTCAGTGTGATGAACTAAGGTTGACCTTATATGTTCCTATATAATCCTGTTCAATTGATTTCCATAATTTCATCTCTCCAACGTTCCCATCCACCAAGTGGGATCCTTTCATGCATAGAAATTGGTGCCTTAGCAATTCAGTTTTCTAAATTGCCCTCTGATTTAACATAAATAGAAGGGCTCTAGCTGACTGATTCTTGTGCTCTGAGTCCTGTCTGAGCTTTACAGATACAAGGAGCAATGGAAAAGTATCATTGGATACAACCATGTAGTCAACTGCAAAACACTGAGAAAAAATACGTTGCCTGTTATAGCTCTAAGATACAACTTCAAGAAGGATGCAAGGCATCTAGCAGGGCTCAGCTAATCCACATCTTTCTGCTACACAAAATACCGGCTACTTTGAACTACAAGCAGCATGAAAGATATGGCAAATTGAGTTCCAAAAGAAGAAAAAGAACACCTCATTAACATCTCTACAAATTGCTGAATGGTTGGACAGTTTAAAATCACGAGCCAACAAGGAAGATCTCAGGCTTTAGCCATCCAAGGCAGAGAGCAAAAGAGAATTCCATCCTGGATGTTTTAATAATGTACCAAGGATAGTAAGTAAGAGCTATGAAGGTTTTGAGCGTAAAATCACTGCAAAACACAAAAACTCAAGAAACTTGAGACAACATGTAGTCAAGAATAAAGCCAACACATAGTTGCATGACGTTTTTGTTGTATTTGAAACACTAAAATAAGAACTTACCATGAAGAGAGGAGCAACCAACAAGTATAGAAGGTGGGATGAGCTTAATAGCCTTCATCACAGCGGATGAAGCAATTGCAGCAAGTAGCAGCGGGCAGCAAGTATGCTTGACAGTCTTGACTAACTACGGCGATATGCTTCAAAAGTTGCAGCTTAGACTTGATTGTGCTAGAAGATACTCTAACAAGTCCATGCAGCTTTATTGCATGAACAGACATATTCTGTGGCTGCTCCAAAAAACATCTAAATTAGGAGAAGATTTCTCAAGTTTTAGTTGTAACATAATCAGAATCAAAGTATTTAAAAGTAAAAATTGAGTAGTACAAGAAGAGCAGTATATCTGACCTTACCGGACTCTTAGAACCAAAACCAGTTTGACAGCCAACAGCTTTGGAAACTCCTGAAATCTTTACGGCTAGAAAATCACAACCAAGTAAAAGCTAGACAGAAACCCATTATATATGACTCTGACGGAGCAATTACTAGTCAAATAGTTCAGATAACTATGCAAGTTCATTATCAAGAGGTAAAAAGTCAATCCCCTTAGAATCACAATTTTAAACAGAGTGAGACGACTTTAGCAATAATAACTTAAATTCCACAGAAGCAGAGCATGTAAAATAAACAAAAATAGACTGCTAGTTGTTCTCAACGTTGATAGGCTATTTGTAGGCAATGCAGGCCAAAAGTTATTGCGGTCTAGCCATATAGACGGTGCTGAAGAAGCTTCAAAATTCTAACCTCTGTTCGTGAAGCTATTCTTCTATCAATCCTACAGAAACAAAGCATAGAACAGAATATGAACAGAGATACAGTAAAACATCAAAGCACAAAACAGAACAGGTGCTTGGGGTCATTCTAATTGATAGTTACAAGAGTATCACTATTATGTTGTAAGGAGTTAATGAAGAGCACCAATATTTTGGACCTAATAAGAAATGCTAATGCCGCAGCTTTGAAAGATAATAAATAGGACGATAAAAAGGGAGAAGAGAAAATTGTGAAAATAACCATGGGGGAGACTTTTTAGGTTTTCTCCCGAGAAGGTTAATCAGAGGGGGAGGTGAAGAGAAGGGGAGATTGATTGTAAAGCAAATTAAGAAAGAGGTTATTGAAGGCAATCTTACATGATTGAATTTGATCCAAAGATGAAAGTTGATTATTAATCAACGTATGCGTAGGTCTTGAATGTGAGAAACTTTGGACCACTGGGAGTCGGGGCCGCTGCTCTCAGGAGTGCATCTTTCTTTTAACAGAGGAGAACCAATGACCAGCAGACGTTTTAGTTTGGTGAGACTTCTCATGGCATCCCCAGAGGGTAGATGTCGAAGCTCTTTGAAATCAAATAAATGCAATTCTTCAAGAGCAGCGAGGTTCCCGAACCAATCTGGCAGAGCTTTTATACCTCCAAAGTCACGTAGCATTAGTGACATGAGAGTGGTCAAGTATTGGATCTGATGTGGCAGGGACTCCATGTGTGGCAACCCAGTTAATCTTAGTAGACGGAGTGCAGATGATGAAGAAGAGGAGGAGGATATCAATCCAGACCAATCAAACTCATTGTAAATTGAAGAATTTTCATGATCATCTGAGAAGGGACCAATTCTAAGCTCCCTTAAGCTGGTTAGGAAACCAAATCCTTTGGGCGTCATGCTTGTTTTCAGTTTGGGACACGAGGATAATTCCAGCTCTAAGAGAGAAGGTGTTTGTCGCAAATCAAGTGGAAAGGATATAAGATTTCCGCAACCAATCACCCGAAGCTTCTGGAGAGAGGTACAATAGTGTAGCATGTCACCTGACAGATTCGTCAACTCATCACAATCATAAATCTCCAGCTGCTTAAGAGACGCAAAGTTTTGCAGGGAAAGGAGTTCTCTGCATCTGTTGCAGCGATTAAATACCAAACGCGCTAACTTGGGGGGTGTTGTTGCTGACTTGGGGAGTGTTGTTGTTGTTGGCAAATCCATTAACCATCGAGGAAATTGATCGCCCATAAAAAGCGAAATTACCAACTCCTCCAAATTTGGGTGGGGTCGAAGGCCATCTAACACATCTTCGTCATTGTAGTTGTCGCCGTCTCGATCATAGGCCCACCAAAGTCGCAAACTAAATAGATTTGCCTTTTCAGATAGTTTTGCTTCCTCAGCTCCTTCCTTACCCTTTACTAGTTCCAGATTGCGTATCTCCAATCTGCCTTTGAGGTTCTTCAAGCTTCCAAACTCTTCAATTTGTCGACCCTTCTCTCGACCCACGTTAAAGAACCGTAGTGTCTGAAGACAAGTCAGCCGTCCCATCTCTAGCGGCATTTGAAATTCTCCATCATCATCTATGTAATAGTGGAGATGTCTCAAGCTAATCAAATTGCACATCCCCTTAGGAAGATGTTTAACAGATGATTCACTTAGCGTCAATGTCTGCAGATTGTAAAGCTTGCAAAGGGAGTCTGGCAAAAAACTGATTGAAGACCGCTCAAGGTTAACATACCGCAAATGTATCAATTTGCCAATTGAGACTGGTAGCTCTTCAGTTATTGTAAGAGACAAATTCAAAACATACAAGTTCTTCAACTTCATTAACATATCGCCAGATAAGTTGCCCTCTGTGAAGAACAATGTATGAAGTGAAGTTGATAGACTCTCCAAAAGTTTTTCTCTGTCTTCTCTGCCACCAAATGAGTCTGTTGCAAGGTAACGAATCTGATTACCATTGTCTACTATACTCGTATCCCTATCAATAATGACTTTGGTAGTCTTTGACATTGACTCTGCAAGGTCGTGGACCAGATCATGCATCTTATAACATGTTCCGTGATAATTTCTTGTTTCTTCCAACAACGAACTCTGCAATAAAATTCTCAAATAATTCATTCCAATTTCCTCCATCATCATTTGGTTGTTGAGATCTGCTTGGAGGAAACCTTCTGCCATCCAAAGTTCGATGAGCATATTCCTTTCTATCTCACTATCCTTGGGAAATATAGAACAATATGCAAAACATTTCTTAATGTATGGAGATGGCAAATTATCAAAACTAAACTTAAGTATTTGCATCACATGATCTCCATCTGCACTCAAACTCAAAAGCCTATTCTCCAAAATTGGTTGCCATTCCTCTTTTCTCTTTAAAGATAATAGACCTCCAATTACACTTGCAGCCAATGGTAGACCATCACATCTTTTGATTACTCTCTCTTTAATTGCTTTTAGTTCATCAGGTTCTTCTTCCCCTCCAACTACTTTTTCTTTTAGGATAGACCAGCAAAGATCATCAGGTAGTTTTCCTAATGGATAGGCTTCATTTTCCATCATCCTCAAACGAGTAGTGACAAGACACCAGCTTCCATTGGTTGGATGGAGTCCCTTCAAGGTGGTGAAAAAGTCATCCCACAATGCCTGATCATCATCCCACACATCATCAAGGACTAGGAAATATCTTTTTCCCCCTAGTTGATTTTGAATGTCTTCAACGATGACATTCCTATCATCCACTTCAACTTTTCCTTTCATCAATTGCACTAATATGAGTTTGAAGAGCTCCACTATTGGAACTTTTTTCGATACACAAACCCACACCTTTTTCTTAAATTGCCCATCAATTTGCTGATTGTTGTATATCGATTTAGCCAAAGTTGTTTTGCCTAGACCTCCCATACCAGTTATGGGAAGACAAGAAACAACCTTCTCAGACGGGCTCAACAGCATCTTCACTATCTTTGATTCATCATCAGCTCTTCCCGTCATTGGAACAGCAACCGAGTCGGTCTGCCGATTTCTTTTGTCTCCGGCATCAGCAGCAGCAGGGAGGGCAGCTGTCATGACTGCCCTGCTGATCAGTCCCAATCCATCGGCTTCTTGATTGATCTCATTCAACTTAAGCTTGATGTCCCTGACCTTAGAAGCCATTCTCCAACGGAAAGCAACGGAGTTAGAGCAGGAGAAGAAGCAACATACCTTGCTCTTGAGTTGGTTCCGGGACTCCACCTTGCAACGAAGAGATTCGTAGTTGAGCTCATCCAACACATTGCCAGCATCATAAGCAACTTCCTCCAGACTCTTCAACCATTCTTGGACTCCCCGGTCCTGGTTTTGTTGCCTTTCCTCAGCATCAGCCAAGAGAGCATTGATAAAGCTAAGAGTTCGAGTCATGCTGGCCACATCCTTCTTGAAGCCACACAACATACCAATCCTGTCAGTGGCAAGAGATGCTGCCGTCTCCAAGGCAACCTGAATAGTGGCACTAATGACGGCGTCGGCCATTTTCCTTTCCTTGTATGGGGGCTTAATTGCTAGGATGCTTTGTTGATATCAGATTGGTGATTTCCTTGTATGTATGTAGCTTGCTAGGATGCCTTTTGCTATCAGATTATAAAGATGGAGGCGGGCAGATGGGAGGAGGCTTTCGTCAAAGTTTTGGTGAGAACCGATGTATTTATTTATTTTTCAAATTTAGATTGGGACCGTGGGTTGCCGGTGGTATGAACTGAAGTATGGTGGAGCCACTGAGAGAGTTACGTAATTTACCCAATTTATAAAGGGTTATATGTAATTTAATCCAATTTATAAAGGGGGCCACATGCTTCTTCCTCGGTTTTAGTTAATTATATTGTTGCAGCTAGTGCTTCAGTTCACGCTAATGCCAGGCCAGGCCCTTGGGTTGCTGAAAATATGTCTAATCCTTGATTTTATTTATTTTTTTAAAAAAGAAATCCTGGAAAAAATCGTGGAAGGCACGTGCAGTACAAGTTACAACTAACATTTCCATCTAAAATATTACTAACAATAAAACTACTAGAAAAGTAGTATAGAGGAAAAAAAATCTATTGTTAGTATATTACTACTAGAAAAACTTTGAAGAATCTCTTCAATTATTGCACCTGCACCAACAACAAGTGTGTCCAGAAAAAACAATCTAAAGAAATGATCCAATGAGGTTTAACGACCTGCCATTTTTGCTCCTTTGAAACGACAAGAGTGAGTCTTCTCTACTATTAGCTCGATTTTAAATATTTTTAATAATTATTATTGCGTGCTTTTCTCTAATATTTCTTTTCATTTATTAAAGTGAAATGTTCAATTTATCTATTTTAAAATACAGATAATTTTACAAACCTCTCCTGAGATTTTTGACAATTTTATTGAGCTTCTTCAAAGTTTTAAAACTTACACTTACCTTCCTTATCCATATAAAATGACAATACTAATGTTGACATTTTAATAAAACTCCCGTATTGGGTGTGCATATACAAAGAATGGGATCTAGAATTATTTTTTGTTTTCCTTTTCCTTTCTCTTCTTATTCCTTCTTTTTATATTTTGCTAGCAAAACCATAGAAAAATATAATCACCGACTCTAAATGTTGAATTAGTGACTTTTTTTTTAACAACTTTGAATGCCATCCAATTTTTATTTGTCAATATATTTTTTCAATCAAAAGGAACACTAACTCAAAAAGAAATGGTCAAAACTACTTGTTCCAAAATGTGGTAATTCCATCAGCCTAAAAATTCACAAACTCTAAAAGAGTATGACGACAATAACTTCATCTTCAATTTAGAAAGAAAATGTATCCCTCGTAAAGTACCCTGAAAAGCATTCTATCATAAGGTAGAACTATTGCTCGTCAAACAATAAATTTGACATTGAAAACTTGAAGCTCTTTTTCTTATATTTTTGCTAAGAATTGCTTTGGAAAGTAATTAAACTTTATAATCTAAGGGTATTTGTTGACAAAATTTAAACCAAGCTATTTAGAAGTTTGTATCGTAGTTTTAGAACTAGATTTAGTAGATAGTAACTAGATTAAAATTGGTATCAAAGTTGGTTTAGAAAATAGAATTGAGTTATGTTTGGATATTAGAATTAGAATAGATTTAGTAATATATGTATCTATATGAGAACTTGGAGGAGTCGTACATTTATAATTGGGGAAAATTAGAGAACAAAATTCTAAATCCTCCCCTGCCTACTTGTTCGTTATTCATACTTCTTTGTTCATACTTGAGATTTCGTCCATTGTTTTTTTTTTTTTTTTGGTAGTTGCTAACATTATTGACAGTTTGAAGACAGAGAGTATCAAAGGAAATTGCCATGATTTATTATTTCAACAAGGAATCCAAGGATTTTCAAATGTAAAAAAATAATGGAAAAAATGGTAGGTACAAGTACAACTGGCATTTCCACCTAGAATATAGAAGTGGATGGCTCTACTCTCAATGCTGCGACTTTGCTTGATCTCATGGATTGTTATTGCCGAGTCATTGGAGTAAAAACAATCCTTCAACGATCAACTCAAACACAAATAAAAAATGCACTCAGCAAAGTAAAATGAAATAAGAAATAAATAATGTAGATCGCATCATTCCATTTACGGTAAAATGAACAGAATTTTCATGTACGAAAATAAAATTTAAACATAGAAATGAACAAACCTAAATGTCATGCTTATAGTTTCTTTTTTATTAACCTAATATGAAAATACGATCCCATTAATAGGACAATCACCGAGTCCAAAACACTTATTTTACTTTGGGCAAATTCCACTTTACCCCATGTGATTTAAGCTTTTTTTACATAACCCTCATATGGTTTCAAAAGCTATATATAACCCCCTTATGATTTGGATTAAAGTGTCAAAATGATGGAAATGACCATTCGTAACGGAGTTATCTAAAATATCAAAAATACCCTTATGTAAAGTTGAAAATTATTTATTAACCAAGGGGGGTTATGTGTATATTTTGAAAATCATAAGGGGGTTATATGGTAAACTATTAAACCATAAAGGGGTTATATAGTAAAATATAAAAATCATACGGGGTTAATGTGTCATGTATTTATAAGGGTAATTTCGATATTTTTAGAAGTTTCGTTACGAGTGACTATTGCCGTCACTTTAACACTTTAATCCAAACCATGAGGGGGTTATGTATAGCTTTTGAAATCATATGGGGGTTAAGTAAAAAAACGCTAAACCATAGGGAGGTAAAATGTAATTTGCCCTTTTCCTTTTTATAGAATACTAAAAGGGACCATAGAATATCATGCCTATAGTTCCTTTTTATTAATTTGGAACCTAAATGTTTTAATTTTTTTGAGTATCTTTTCTTCTAAAAATTGGAGATTCCTTGATATTTGTAGTTATCTTGACCGATTCAACTTCTTTCCTCCACTTCACAATTAACTTGCATGCATTTTAACTGCGAGTTAACCACAATTTATACAGGCTAGCTCTATGGCTGTGAATCAAGCTTTGAGCTAGGCTAACAAAAAAATATGCAAATCTTCTGGCTGCCTGTTTGAAACCTGGTTTTTTACCAAGTTTGTATAATACTAGTTTTTTAACAACTTTTGCTACAGAAACCCCAAAAACCTTCACAAAGTTTTTTACCTACACAATTCAAAATGCCCAAAACATACAAAAAAAAAAAACTCCCTTCCCTTTTTCTTCTTCTTCCTCCCCCACCCCAACCCACCACCACCTCCGTCGCCGCCCATCACCCCCGTCGCCGGTTCCTGTGCCGATCACCTCTTCCGGTGCCAGTCTTCTTTTTTTTTTTTTTCCTTTCTCCTATCCCCTTCCTCCCCCTGCCATCCTTCCTCTCTTCCCCCACCACCCTTCCCCTTCCCTCTGGCCGATCTGGTCGCGAGACCAGGTCACACTGGGAGAGGGTAAGAGTGGCGGGGGAAGGGGAGGAGAGGGGGAGAAGGCAAATTACAAAAAAAAAAAAAATTCCTGTTGCTACTTCATCTGCCGGCAAGAGAGAGGATGGGGAGAGGGGTGGCGGGGGAGGGAGAAGGAGGGGTGGCGGGTAGGAGAGCGGGAGAGAAAACAAGCAAAAAAAAAAAAAAGAAAAAAGTTGCTGCTGTTGCTGCTTCATTATTAGCAGTTTCGGGAGAGGGAACAGGGGGGGAAGGGGAAGGGAGGAAGGAAAAGAAAAAAAAAAGAAAAAGAAAGAAAGAAAAGGAAAAGGAAAAAAAGTTTTTTCTTCATCTCACCAAAGTTTTTCTATAACTTCTACAGTGATCTACAGTAAAGTTTTATACAAACACTCAAAAAACTCATCTTCCAAACGGGGAGGGCAATAAACCATCTGCAATATGCATTTGCTTCTATCTATCTATTATCCATCTCTTATTACTGCATAAATAAAAGTATAATAAGTTTAAGCATTAGAAAGTGTTAGGACTTTTGGTCTTTTGTTTTCTCCGGTTCACAACACCGTTAAAAATTTATTCTCTTGGTGAAGTAAATTTACTAGTCATCATTTTATTAAACCTTTTGTAAGTTCATTGAAAATATAAGGTAACCCTATTTTTAAATAAGTCATTAGACATTGGAAAATAAAGAGGCAAGAATTACTAATATGGAAATTTAAGATGAATAGGCATGCTTATTTTTTTTTCGAAAGAAAATTCTGTTATCATTTAATTAAACCTTTTGTAATGTCATGGAAAATACACTTTGAGGAGGCCCTTGAGGTAAGCCTTTTTATAAATAAATCACTAGCATTAGAAAGTAAAGAGGCCGAATTTTTTAAAACAGAAATTTAAGATAAATATATATATTTTTTTAAAGAAAATCTGTTTATAAAAACCTACCTAACTTGCAAATCCTCTATTACATTTTTACTTTTGTATACTTATTTATACAATTATTAACGACTTCGTGTAAGGGAAAATAATTGCCTACTGCTTTACTTATGGAAGCAACTAGGTTACTTTTTATCATACTCACTTCCTTTTTTCTCTTCCCATTAAAATCTATCCCATCATGGCTTGAGTCCAAGACAATTGTTAAACTCCATCAAAAATCTATATGTACCATCCAATGCATAAATCGTGAACTCAATCTCAAGCACTTACAATGGCAATGTGGTATTCTCTTCCATGCAGCTTTTCTTGATAAAATGGCTAGTGGAGTCTAAATAATAATCTTTTATCGTAAAGTAATTATCATACTAATGATATCATAACTTCTTTTTCAAAATCCTCGATATCTCTAAAAGCACTTCATATTACCCCAATAAAATTCAATTAGCTTAAAGTGTGCCATATTTATTCAATTAGTTTAAATTAAATAGCAAATCAAATAATAACCAAAAAATAAAAATTAAAGGAAGAATAGCAAACATCTATCTTTGATATAACTCAGTCTAGCTAATATTACACAAATTCTTACATGATTTGTAGACATAGGTTTCAAATGTTTGTAACTACGGGGTTTTTTTTTTTTTTTTTGCAATAAATAGTGAAAGTAATACCAACATGGGGAGTTTATAGGGATTTTAAAAACCTTTATTTTTTTTCCTGTCTTTCCTTTATAGTAAAATCTAACAACTGAATAGTAAAGTTTCAAAGCGTTTCTTTAGTGTCGAACCCAGGATTTTTTTTTTTTTTTGACATTCGATGACGAACTTTTTTTAATTTTTATTTTCGAGTATAAATATTAGATGATAAACTTTTTTTTAAAATTTTTATTCCCTAATAAAG